TCCAGCATTTCTACTTGCAAATATGAAAAACAATGTTCCTCAGCTGCTGGACTAAAATGCCATATGAAAATTCAGCATAATATTAATGCAACAAATACTGCAAGAGGTGCTAAATGTTGCCACATCTACACATGACAATGGAGCAGAAGTGAAGAACCACATCTGTGCTGCCTATATTTGAAGATAAATTAAACAATGATATTGAAACCAAGTTGCAGCAATCACATATATATGGATTTAATTTTAATCCGAGATTTTTATTACTTCAAACTTTATATATTTTATACCAGTACTTGAAATAGATGCCTTCTCAAAAAAAAAAAAAAAAGAAAAAAAAAAGTGTGCATTACATCTGTTGACTTAAGAAAATGTGCTCTCTGGGAGGCATCTCTCCCTTTGTAGGAAAAACCAAAATCTGATCAGCAGTGGTTTAGACAAATTGGCCACAGAGAGCGTCATAGCAACTTTCTCATACCCCCTTTTAAGGAATGCACATCTTCTGGTTCAAATTTTCTTGAAAGCCTGTATCTTTAGAAAACTATTTTAATATTTTGGATATAAAATTAAGCAGATATGGGCTTTCAAGAGAATCTGAAGAAAGGGATAAATTAAAAGGGTAAATTAACCTTGCCGGGCTGTGGTGCTCTCTAGCTGAGCCGTATAAATCATGCTAAATCAGATGGTTGCTACTACTACAAAGGGAGATGCAGGATCAAACTCTGCTGGAGAGCACATTTTCTTGATTAATCTTTAACACACTGCCTTATTCTCTACTTTCCTTTCCACTGCCTTATTCTCTTTCCTTTCCACTGCATTATTCACTTTCCTTTCCACTGCCTTATTCTCTTTCCTTTCCACTGCATTATTCTCTTTCCTTTCCACTGCATTGCTTTTCAAGGCTTCCCTATTGCACTACTTAATTTCAGTCATAGTCATTTTCTGTTGCCATAGCTGGATATGACAACACAACTGCAAAATTCAAACCTGCTATCATTCATTCATCTGAATGACTTGTAGTGGCAGGATAAAATTTTTGCTTTGCAAACAAAATCACTTCCAGAATGCTAAAGGTTAATTTTTTTCAAGTGCACATGCCAGTAGATATAATATACAGTTTATAAAAAAAAAAAAAAAGGGGCATCTATTTCAAACCTGGATATCCACTGAAATAACATCTGAAAATTATATATATATATATATATATATATTTATTAGTGGACAAAATCTTAGTGTTGCTAAAAGGGATTAAATGATATCCAGAAAAGGCATGGCATGTGGAACTAGAATAATCTACCATGGACTAAATAAAAGGTTTGGTTCAAAATTCCAATCTATATCAACTGAAGAAGGCCGGAGCATATAATGACCAAAATGTTGTGAATATGACAAAGAGGAGGACAACAGTCCAAACAACGTAAATAGTATAAATAACTTACTTTCTATAAGCAAATATATCTATATCTATCTCTCTCTCTCTCTCTATATATATATATATATATATATTTAAAGAACTGCTATTTTATTTTCTTGCAGTTAAAATCAAAATTAAAACACCAAAGATATTTAAATTATTGCAACATGCTTGGACATTTGAACTCAAAATGTGATACACATTTCTGTATTGGCTGGTTTTTAACAATGTCAGGTAACCTAAAACGTTGCCTTTTCATCTCAACAAACATACTAAAAGAAAGAAAGAAAGAAAAAGGTTCATATATGTAGCTAGGATGTGACATTTGCAATCAAAGTGGTACTATCTGTTCACAGAAGAATAGAAACAAAGAAATAGAAAATGAATGTCCTGACAACTGTCAGTTTTGTTTATGAAACTCGAGTCAGCAATCTATCCAGATTGTCAGACATACATAGTAAAAAGACAAGGGAAGTCCTTTTGTAATTTCATGGAAAGTTAAATGTTGCCGTCATGACAAAGTAAAATTAATGATAGCAGATAGAAATAACAAGTTCAATCCTCAGTGTCAAGATTTATGGGGTTAATTGCAATATATACTTACAATAAGTAATCAGTCATCCTTTTTCACACCTCTTCTTACCATGTGCAATTTTATTGGCTTTTTTTCAGGTTTTTTTTTTCCTTGGACAATTTTAAATGATCAAAATGTGTATGTTTTATATAGCAACACTAATTAGAAGAGGAGTTATTTTTATCTTCACATGCAATACTAATTGTCTATTCATGCTCCTCAAATTCCATAATATGCATTATAATGACAAGGACACTCTGAAAGCATTGATCTTTGCTGGGTAACTGTGAGTAATCCATATTTAACATGGTATACAAATATATATATATATATATATATATATATATATATATATATATAAAGTTTCTAAATAATAAAAATCTATTAAACAATAGACATGAGTTAACGGTTTTTTGCCGACATCAAATTTTTGCATTGAATAATTAGCATAAAAACAAACAAACAATAAAATAATTTTAAAATCCATAGTCCTAATAAATAGTTTAAATGCCCCACAAAAAAAGATAACCCTTTATGAAGTCATCAAAAAACAAAATGTTATGGCAGTTTTTATATACACAAAACCCTTTCAGAAAAAAAAAAATAAATAAATAAATCTCTATAGACACGTAAACCAGACTAGGCGAAATCATCTTCCGTTTTAAATTTAGACGCCCCAACCTTACCCTGACTTGACATCTGTGAATGTAACTTTATACTGATACAAATTATTAACACCTTACACCCCTGTTTATTTAAACAGTCACTCTAGCCATAACCATAGAAATTTTGATTTCAATAATGAATATGCTATTAAAACACGTAAATTTCAGAAATAAGTTATTCCAAAAAAAATTTCGCTTGTAGATGGAACAGAGCTTACTTTAATTCAAATAATTATATTGAAGTTTTCAGCTCTTGTTTTGAAACTTGAGAACTCTTATGTAGCATGTTGGAATCATTTTTAAATAAATAATTTTATATATATATATATATATATATATATATATATATATAGTAAAGTGTTGTAACAAAAAAGTGGGGGTGGATTTGCTAATCTTAACACAGGACTAAAGTGTTTTTTTTTTTTTTTTTTTAAATACAGGGTCCAACAGAAATACCCCCCACATAATGGTAAAACATTTTTTGGGTCTTATCATTACGTTGGGGGGGGGGGTTCTGCTGCACCCTGTAGAAGCAATGACTGTAAAATCAAACAAGTATTCTTCTGAAGTTTTAGACAATTCCATGGCTAACACAATATTTTCATCTAACATAGCTAGCTAGCTGGCTTGCATGCATGCATGCATACATACATGCATGCATACATACATAATAGTTGGCCACTCATATTCAAGGACATCTGTCTACTAGTGCAGCTAGCCAATCCCTATTGCAGACGCATGCTCTGTGGTTTATACTGTAACTATGCTGAGCAGACCTTAATCACAGTTTCCGGGAATGAACATGTGATCAACAATGTGAACAAGGCCAGCACACTCAAGCCTTTGGTCAATGATGACTATGTACTAGCACAGCTATCAACGAACACCAAGGGTTCCATCTACCCAATTTCACTCACAAGGCTTGGGTCAAACTGTGGTATGATTTTCAGGAACTTTTCAAAGGTTCCGCATGCTGGGATCGACCCCCTCCAGTCTGATAACATTAGGAAGTCTCCTTTTTGACAAATCAACCCTGGTGAGATTTGAACCTGGGTCTCATGGTCAGAATGCAAACGTTCTAACCACTCGACCATGTGCCCATAATACACACACTTGATCAAGGTTATCAGTTTGGAATATTATATATATATATATATATATATATATATATATATATAAAAAGCCCAGTGTTACCAATTTTGAACTGATTTTCTAATTATTTTATGAGCTATATCTCTTCATGACGTGGGCGATCATAGCTCTCCACAACTTTCTATACTTTGTAGCTCTTAAGATTTGTCTTTTCACCATCCTTCCCTTTTCCCTGTTCCCCCATTCACTTACACAGGCTCGTTAGGTGGGTTATTTGATGTGTCACTTTTGCCATCAATATATCCTGTGAGTGTTAAATTCTTCAAGCCTTCTTTCTTCAATCTATATCCTAGAAATTTCAACTGTATCCTCATTAGTAGTTCAAATTAGCCCAGCTTATTTTAAAAGTAACCCAAAAATTAGTAGTGAAATTCAAAATTTAGTAGAATCAAGCTGCCTGACAATCTACTACATGACAGCAAGGCCACTTGCATAGACAACTGGTAAAGATAGCTATAATGCAAAAACAAATAGTCAAATATTAGAGTTTAGTTTATTCATAAAAGTGTATATAAATATGTTTTAAGACATTTTTTATGTTCATACGTTCTTTTTATAAATACAAATATTTAAGTAAATGCTCTGTTTATAATAAACAGTATTAACAACATTTACCAGCCTGAATGTCTGAGAAATTTTCATAGAAAATATGCGCCTCCAACATAATCTTAAATAATTGTCGGACTTTGTCCATTTCATAATGTGTGTGTGTGTGTGTGTGTGTGTGTGTGTGTGTATCACACACACACACAAAATATATTATCCCATTACATTATTTTCTTGTTATTCTAAGAAACTGTTTCAATTGAATCCAAAATGTCTTGCAGAAAATTGGTTACTTTCAAATTAATGTGTTATTTATGTAAAGAAAAATTATGCAACTTCCTTTGAGTGACAGTAAGAAAATGTCATTGACTTGTTATTCTTTTCAATTTTGTTGTTAAATGATAATTTGCAAACATTAATTAACTATACAAGCTAAGATTTTCCTTTAAATTTTTATATGAAAGTTTCATATATGAAAAAACGTCAAAAATTATACATACATCAAAGTAGTAGTAGTAGAATGTTTTTTAATGTTAAAATCTAGTTCGCCATTTGGAAAAGTCACAAAAGCAATTTGGAGTTGGTGGGATCAACATGACATTTCCCCAGCCCAAAGTTGGGATTTGGGTAGTGATTGTGCATATTTACTTACTTCCATCATTCTCCCCAGTAAAACCTGAGTAGTTGTTTTTGTCTTTCTCTTTTTCCCTATTCTCTTGCTCCAGATTCAAAGAC